AGAAGGGTGAGCAATGGGGAGAAAGCGGAGGAGAAGGAGCAGAGAAAGGGAGAGAAGAGAAGACATGGCGAGGGAAGAAAGAACCCAGAGGAGAAAGAGAGAAGAAAGAAAAGGCGGGTTGAATGTTGAAAATGGGGAATTGTAGAAAAAGGGAGAGTGGGGGGTTGTGGTTTTTGTAATGATTATTATTCCAAGTTTGGACCCCATTTTTTCAGAGCCTGTGTTCACTGTTCATCTCCAGGTCTCAAAGGAGAGTGAAGAGTGAGGCGTCAGCAAAAGGCTGAAAACTCTCTTCAAATGCATTTTTGAGTTTCTGACCCAATCAGTGAACCAAAATCAAACACTGTTTCTTCTGTTGTTGTCTTCTTCTGTGCCTTTGTAAATTGTGATAAAACGCATCCAAAAATTTTCACTGCCTATTGCTCACCATTTGTCCACAAATTTCCAGGGGATGCTTTACGAATGGTGTGGGATGCCAACCAGAGTAAGAGTAGGCATGCAATATCATCATTCTAATCTCTATTTTGTATCTTGGTGTAGGATCTACACGTTGAATTTTGGTAAAATATTAGAATTGAAGGAGGGAGCGTGTTCCAAATGCAACGCACGAAAAAGTGCAGGGGAGCAGGGTGTTCCTTGTACTGTAAAAGTAGTTATAGTTTGTGTGATTGTAATAATTTTTCACACATTTTTTCTGTGTGGACCGTGATTTTTTTCAAATAGAAATATATATACTATATATATATATATTTAAAAGTTAATTTGATTGAAAATGTAGGGAGAAATGGAGGGTGCAATTATGGGAGTATAGAAAATGAATACAAAACGGTGCATTTCAATCGAGGAAAAAGTATGATACATCATGACATGGGACAAAATTTTGTCAGCTCAAATATTTTGCTTTCTTTTTTGTTTTCCCATAAAATTTTTTCATCACTCCCTCATCTTCCAAACTACATTTAAATTACTTTTTTTCTATTCAAGTCAGGTTCCGGTAATGATTTCACTTTTTTATTTCTTTTTTTCTCCTCATTTTTATGTTAAAATATTATTTTATTCTCCGTACTTTTAATTTTTGGTCATTTTAATTTTTGTATTTTCAAAAGGTTCATTTTAGTCTTAGTATTTTTTAAAATGACTATTTTGGTGCACCTTTAAAATATTCTCACACAAATTCTACACATAATATAAATCATTTAATATAAAGTCACGATTACATTTTAAGAAATATATTGAATGTAATGTCGTGTTAAAACTGTAAATGGAGGGACTCAAGTTGTCACTTTTAAATGTACATTGACCATATAGAATATTTTGAAAGTACATTGACTAAAATGAATCAAAATTGAAAATATAGAGATTACAATATATTGATAATATTTTAACGAGATTTTTTTTCTTTTATTGTATGTTAAATAAGTTCGAGTTCTTACCTGAATTTGAAAAATAGAAACTAACTTTTTAATTTTTAAAATTTGAGTTAGATTTTAAAATATTTTTTAAACTGGATAACAAAGAAAAGAAACCCACAGCTCATATCAAATTAGTGTTATTATAACTATGAAAAAATGATGCCTATGTGACAAAAAAAATTTATTATTTTATTATTTATTAATTAATTAATTAATTAATTATTATTTTGGCTCATCCCTCCCTCTCCCACCTAAAAACCCACCCTTTCCCCACCTGAAATTCATCCTCTTAACTTTCCCTTCAATTTTCAAATCATAGAAAAGACAGCTGTTCAACTGCCTTAAATTGTCATTTCTCAACGCAGGTACTCAATATTTTCTGTATTATTTTGATTAAATATATATATATGATATATGTGTATATATAATATATATATTGGTATGTATGTGTTTGTGTGCGAAAACATTATACCTTTTAAGTGAGATAAAAAAATAATCCTTTATCTACTCAACTGTGTTCGGATGTTGTTATTATTAGGACAAGAGTCATTGTTCGAGTATAATGTCTCCATAAACCATGTAGGTTTTTCATGCCATTGATATCGATGTCGATGCCGTCTTATCTTGAAGACGATCTCTGTACAAGCGTTACTACTGACATGCAGGTCGACAATACAGAATAATTAGTCCCTTTGAGGTTCATCCATCACTTATAAAATTCTTCCTTGGTGATTTTTACTCTTTCTCTAATGGAGAGCGGGTAAAAGGATCCTTAGAAAATAAATCTTCCTAGTAATTCAAGTCCTAGTTTTTTACCCTCAAAATCATAAATAAAAAATGTGTAAAAAGCTTTATCCTAAAAGTGACTTCTTCTTTTTTTCCGCTCAAACCATTCCTTCGAAATGTAACATGTGTCTTATTAATTTGAGCTAGGTTCAGATTGATTAACAACTAGAATAAATATTTTATTAAATTTTCAATCCATAAATCATTTATTAGTATTTAAAATTATATATATATTGGTTAGTTCAAAATATAGGATTGCAATTGAAATTGAAACTTGGGACTTCCAAAGAAATTATGATATTGACTTTTTCTTTTTTTAATTATTGTCCTGACTAGTTGAGATTCCTTTTATATATATATATATATATTTCTTTTTTCTTTTTTCTTTTTTTTTTTTAAAGAAATAGGCTAAATAGGTAGTGGGTTTCTTGATAAAATATTTGTGATTATATGTGCCTTATTGCAAAGTTGTTAACTCTGTTGGGTTTACCATTTGAAATAATGAATGCAAATTATATAAAAAACAATATGAGTTTTCATATGTTACGAAATATGGAAAGAAAAGGACATAAGAAGCATGACATGTTGTCAATTAAGATCGCCCAACATCACATATATAAGTTTATTGGTAAAATATTTCGAAAGTCGAGCCACTTACCTCGAAAGTCATTATGAATTTTCTTCATCCTAGAATTATAGATATGAGCCAAAGCGAGTATAGTTCAGTGTGGTAATTGGCATATACCTCCAACCAAAATGTCGTGAGTTCGAATTTCCTCCTCAACATATTGTACTAAAAAAGAGAAAAGCCTATGGATATGACAAAAATATATTTACGTATGGTTCCTATCCTATTATGGCTTATAACGACTAGACATAAATGTTGTTTTTCTATGGCAATAATTAAAATGGGTAAAAATAAAATAGCATTAATAAAAAAAAAAAAGGTGAGAATCCAAATGTCCTGTAGGTAAATCCATCACTAAGATCCTATTTTGGTAACTTTCTCATCTTTGATTTTTTTTTTTCCTCATTTTTCATAAGTGTTGTGTAACGGTTCCTCTTTTTCATTTTTCATTATTAAGAAAATTTTATAAACAACAAAATCGAGTTTTCTTTCTATCTTTCTTTTTTTTATTTTTTTAGCAAAAGATAGATAAAAGGCATTATTGTATCATCTTTTATTTATAAAAATGCATAATAAATACCAAAGAGTAAATATAACATAGAAAGTTTGAATATTTAATTTGAAAAATTAGTGTTTATATAAAATTAACTTTACTAAATTTAGTGAGTTTAATCAATTTATCACGTCAAACCTTATATTTGAATAAATATTGTAAAAAAATTTATCTTATACTAACTTTTACAACATTTCTATACTAAAACTAAAGACTACAAATATTTCAAAAGAAATTAAAGGCGCAAATAATCCCAACAAATCAATCCAAGGTAAATTAATGCACAAAATCAACCATTGAAATATGTTCGTCTTCCGCGACGGACCCACGGAAAGGAGGCAATATATTACACATCTATTATGGTTGTATATGTAATAATTAAGTTTGGCAACTTTTTCAAACCTTTTTTTTTTTTTTTTTTTGAGGAAAAGGGTTGTGAAGGAAGCAAAGGCCTTTCCACAAATTTGTATTCTACAAGTCAATCATACATGAAGAAGCAGGATGAAAAAGGCACTTTTCTATTTAGTAATTTTATAATAAATAATAATGAAAAAAACTTTTACTTTAATTTAAGAGTGAATAAATAAATAAATAAATATATTTATATTTATATGTGCATTAAATTTGGTGCATTGCAGTTGCAGAGCAGGCAGGGCAATTCCCACAGCTGTTGTTTGTTATTATTATTAATGCTTAGTTTGAATTCAGTGTTTGCCTTTGCCACAGTCAAACACCCAAATATCTAAACCATCACTTTTTTTTCTAATCTAATTCTTTTTAGGTATTTAATTTTCTTACCGTGAAGAGTTGTCAAATGTTTAATAGTGGTAAGAACAAGGTTCCATCCTACTAGCGAGGGACCAAGTATTTTTCATTTCTATGTACACGTAGGTGTAAAGGATGATCAATATTTTCATATGCCATAAAATAGATAAAATATAAATGAAAATCGGTCTTGAAACACAAATTTTTTAGTAGACGAGATTTTACGAAAAAAGTTCTTCATACTCATAGGGAGAACAACTATTTTTTTTATGTGAATTTGACATAACAGGTGAGAAACCGCTATTTATAAATTAATAATTTAATTGAAAAAAAAAAATTATCTTTGCGAAAACCCTAAGTATCACTTCACTATGTATAACAGAATCTTTTTTTAAGACCCACTTGTTATTAGTTAATAATCCGAGTGATTGGATTAAATAGGGGCAAGAAAGCTATGTGGAAAAAAGATGGCTAAATTCGATGTTGTCAACGGGAGTAAGATATCACTATATTATTAATATTAATAGTTTTTAACTTTTTTATGAAACTTAAAATATTTATTTGTTAATTTCAAATTTTTTACTTT